TTTTCTGAAGAAGGGTCTAGGCCCGAAACGTCAGCCTTCCTGCTCCTCTGATGCTGCTTGGCCTGCTGTGTTCATCCAGCTCTACACCTTGTTATCGCAGATTCTCTAGCATCTGCATTTCCTACTATCTCTAACGTATGTATTTATTTGGTTTTTCATCTCTTTGTTTCCAATTATAAATTCCACTGTTCTGACTGTAGAGGACTTATACTCATCTTTACTCGCATGTCTATACAAACTCTTGCATCAGTTTTTATGTTCCCTGTAGGTTCACTGTCACACTCAATTTCCTCCTCTTGATTAGTTTCGCCTATGCTGGAATCTAAACTGATCCCAGTCCTCAGCTCTCTTGCTTGTTTTGACCAAATTGCATGTCTCTTCCTTGAATTTAATGCTATCACGAATTTCTGTCATTAGCCATGGTCTGACGACAAATACCATTTTATTTTTATGCCAGACTGGGATGAAAAACTTTGCAGTTCATTTATGCACTCTTTAAATGTGCACGATGTTACACTAAACTCCGTCTGCCAAGTTTTTGCCGCCTCACCCAATCTATCTTTATTTCCTTGCAAATCCCATATGTCCTCATCACAAATAAAAACCGAAAGAACTGCTGATGCTGTAAATCAGGAACAAAAACAGAAGTTCGTGGAAAAGATCAGCAGGTCTGGCAGCATCTGTGAAGAAAAAAAAATCAGAGTTAACATTTCGGGTCCGGTGACCCTTCCTCAGAACTGGACCCGAAATGTTAACTCTGATTTTTTTTTTGCTTCACAGATGCTGCCAGACTTGCTGAGCTTTCCAGCAACTTCTGTTTTTGCCCTCATCGCAACATGTCCTCCCATCTATTTGTGTATCATCAGCAAATTTGGATATATTACACTCTGCCCCTTCCTCCAAGTCATTAGTATAGATTTTAAATGATGGTCCTTGTAGCACTCCACTGGTTACATCTTTCCAATCTGGAAAAGACACATTATTTCCAATTCAGTCTTTGTGTTAATCAATCTTCAATGTTAATTCATTACTTCCAATACTATGAGCTTCTATCTTGTGCAATAATCTTTTTTGTAGCCCCTTTAGAATGCCTTCTGGGCATCCAAGTACACTGCATCTATCAGTTCCCCTGTGTCAACTCTGTTTGTCACATCCTCAAAGAATACTAGCAAATTTCCCAAAACCATATTAACATATTTAATTAGTTAAGATTTTCTGAATCCTGCTATTTCTTCTTTAATGGATTTTCCCATTGATAAGCTATCAGATGATAGGTAATTAGCCTGCAGTTTCTGCATTCTGTCTTCCTCCTTTCTTGAATAGGGGTGTCACGTTGATGGTTTTCCAGCCTGTTCGAAACCTCCCAGAATTCAGACAGTTCTGGAATATTTTCACCAATGTCTCCACTATCTCTGCTGTCACTTCCTTTAAAACCCTTGCATACAGGCTGTCAGGTTCTGATGACTTTTCTGCCTTCAGTGCCATTATTTTTTTCAAATACTTATTTCCTTATGATAGAGACTGCTACAAGATTTTTCCTCCCATTAGCACCTTGCTTATCTAATAATTTTGGGACCTTCACAGTGTGCATCACATGATGTGTCCAGACTGCCCACAACGCTGCAGCTGTGGTCTGATCAGGGCTTTATATTGCCGAATCGTGACTTCTGCCTTGTCTGTTCCAGTTCTCTAGATGTGAATGCTGGCATTCAGTTAGGCTTTTTGATTTATTCTCTGTATCTGTTCATACATTTTAATGGTCAATGTATTTGGACCTGCACTGTTTCTACCTCTTCACCATTTGCATAAATTAGACCCAAAGTAGCTAACCTCACATTTGGCTATTTTTGAAATATATTCACCATTTTTCCCATCTGCAAATTTTCAAGTTGTTCAGTCACCTAACCTTAGTATAACCAAGAATTCCCCTGACAATATATATCAGAGTCATAATTCTATAATTACCTCTTTCTGTATTATTTTCTTACTATTGAGAAAAGAAATAGTATAAAAGGGTTCACCTTACTCCTGATCACTCTTTATTAATGCAATTGTAAAAACCTTTATGTTGGTTTTATATATCTTGCGTGATTTTTATTGCTAGCATTTACTTTTCTTCAATTGCTTTTGGCTGTTCTTTGTATGTTTCCATTTGTTAAGGTCCATGTGTATTTTTGCATTTTATGTAGGTTTTTACTTTTATTTCATTCCTTCATGATGTGGGTGTCAACGGTTTGGCCAATATTTTTTGCTATCACTAATTGTCCTTACAATAGTGGTTAGGAGCCGTTTTCTTAAACTGCAGCAGTCCTGCTGGGGTATTCCAGAATTCTGCAACAGTGAAGGAATGGTAATATTGTTCCAGGTCCATGGAATGTAGCTTGAAAGTGAATCTGCACTTGGTGGTGTTCCCATGATTCCTTCTGTGTGGTAAAGGTCAAGAGTTTGGAAAGTGCTATTGAAGGAACCTTGGGACAGTTGCTGTAGTGCATTGTGTATTTCTGCCATGGTACACCAGTGGCAAATGAGAGCCCATGCTTTTCAAATAATTTGCATCCACCTGTGATATCGTTTCTATTTGGAATGTTTGGCATTGGTTATGCAGTGTTCTGTGCCAGCTTGACGTTTCATGTGACCACTGCATGACCAGGTCATATCTGTTCTTCCTCCTGTCTGCCATTTGTAGGTTAACATTTTAATGACCTCAGGGTCTAGAATCATTGTCACCTTATTCTTGTGATGACAAAGGTCTTATGGACACAAAAAAAAGTAATGTCTCAGAGGCGAATAATTACTTTCTCCTTGCATGTCCTTTGAAAATAATTGTAATATTTTATTAATTATTTTGTTAATTCAGTTCCTTTTCCTTTTCGCTCCACATCTTTAGGACAGATTCACCAGTACCCAGAGTTCAGCATTCCGGTGGTAGTGGTAATGCTGAAACTTTGATTCAGGATGAAGCGTCACTTGTCAATTCCATAGAAGTGGCATCAAGTCCAGCCACTTCTAAAATGGAAAAGAATGAGGTAAATGTTAGTTTTTTTTATTAAAACTATCTCTTCAGCATTTTTCATTTTAAACCTGTAGCCTGCAGTTTTTGTTTATAAACAAAAGGAATCAATATCTGCATATGCATACTACAGCACCTTGCATTTGTGTGAGATTTGTCCGTCTTTCAGATAATACACTTATAAGATTTAAGTGATGGACACTGTTTTGAAGGGTAACAGTCAGAGGTTTCTGGTTAGGAAAAGGCCGAACTCTTGACCGTGAAACTATTTCTCAAAGATAACATCCTGTAACTCAGTGTAACATTATGAACTGCTTTCATTGGAATGCTTTCACAGGAATGAAACTCAAAAATTTAAACCAACCCTGAGATGCAGAGCATTTGAGTGAAGTATCAGCAAGCAGGAATGATCTCTTCTTCAATTTTCCTACATTGCCATGGTTCTGATCACTCATGTTTCTACTTAAGCTTTGTGCTGTGCTCACTAATCTCATTTTAAAGATTATGACATAGTTCCCTGTTCTCTGATTCCAATAACCTGTCTCAAGTTGCTCGATATTGCTCACTTAGTGATTTATGTGACTTGGATATTTGCTAGCTTGGCAAGAATTGGAAAGGCAATTACAACTGATTCAATTTTGAAAATGAATTAATTTAGAAGAGCTAAATTTGTTTTAATAAAATCCTTGTATGATAACATTAAAATACAGTTTGCTTGAAGACATTTCTTTACATTTCAATATTTTCACAATTCTGAAAAGTTTGCAGATGTTAATACAGAAAGTTCCCCTATTGTTTAGTACTTCAAATACTACAATTTTGTGATCGGTTAGGCTATTATTTCATTTGGTATGAGAATGCTGTTGATTTTTCTCTACTGTATTGTGATAACACTAAGTTTGTTTTCTTGGATTCTATTTTTGAAAAGCAGCTATAAGTTTCAACTATTCACAGACTGGGCTGCTAGATAAGTAAGGTCCAGGCATACATCAATAGGATTTTTTTTCTCTTTTCATTTTCTCCTGTAATCCTGAAATTGAAATCTCTTTGGGTCATGTTACATGAGCAACAAGAAGCCTCCAGTACCTTACTTGATATGTGCACAGCCAGTGAATGAATGTTAGCAAGCTATTTGGGATTACCGTTGTTAAACCTATTGTCATTATGGACCAACAACAGCACATACACTTCTGTTAGTGTTCCTGTTTTTAACGCCAATTGTTATGCCCTATCAAAGCCCTAAATAAGAAAACTCGACATGGAATGATATATGGGACCTTGCAGAATTCTAAGGCTCTATGCTATAACATGTGGTTTAAAAAAAAGTGGAATACACCAAGATTATACACTGGGTTTCTTGGAGCAATATGCATTCATAACACTACCTTCCAAGATTCTGCTTGATTTCTCCTGATGTATAGAACAACATTTAAATAAAGTGTCTCATATGAATGCAAATAATTCTTAATATAATTATCTTTAACCTCTTAGCTGAGAGAACCTGCAGATCAATTTCAAGAGTACTATCGACAGCGGATGCGCTACCAACAGCATCTAGAGCAAAAGGAGCAACAAAGACAAATGTATCAGCAAATGTTACTAGAAGGAGGGGTCAATGAAGATGATGGAGCAAGCCAGCAGCAGAACCTCACAGAGCAGTTCCTTAACAAGTCAGTTTCAGCTCTGGTACAAGCACTATCACAGTCCACATGCTTTGTTCCCCTCCCAAAGTTAATGTGTCTTCACACTGAACCATTGTATCTTGTTTAAAAACAAAAGTTTCTTTGATTTTTAAATACAGTTTAACTGTCAGCATGAATCTCTGAAGTAAAATACTATAATAGGACTTTTTAAAGTTGATGGTCAATTTAATTTCTGTTTTATTTTGAAACAGATCAATGCAAAAGCTAGAAGAATTAAATCTAGGAATGGATAATCTTAGCACTGAGGCACAGTCTCCAAACCAACAGTGTAATGGAAACCAATTAAATGCACAAAATGGCTCTTCAGCCACTAATTTTTTAACACCTGAAGTTAATCAGCGTTCAGGATTGTCTGATGTTTCAAGCCAGTGCACAAGTACTCCATGTAAAACAAGCACAGGGAACACATTCCCTTATTCTGATGGGTCTTCATTCTTTAACATGCAGAAGTAAGTAAGATGTATATATTTCAGCAACAATATCAATGAAAGACTGGAAATTGCAAAACAAAAAGTTTCATTGTTTTGACGTAAAACACAATGAAACATTTTCATTTACAATATCCTTTTGAACCAAATACTTCCTCTATTTAAGCTGTTATTCACTGGTCCAGCCTTTCTGAATGCTGAAAGCTGAACAGTTTTAGCACATCGCAAATCAATGCATAATAGTTTATTTTCTCTTAGCCACTGCTGAGATGTTGACAAAACTAATTCAGTAGTAACTTCGTGGAGTTAAATGCTTCCACGGTTCTGAAAAAGAATAATTACTAGTAAAGAGAGTTCTAAAATGCAATCCAAATAAGATGATTTGACATGTAATCGCAGTAGGTTTGCTGCTGTTAAGTACTTGACAATTATCCTTCCAGTTAATTGCTCTATGGTGTTGTTTTAAACTATACACTGTCCTAAGCTTTTAACAAACACTATATAGTTAACTAAAGCTTTTAATTTTATTTTAATGTAGTGCAGATTCTTCATCTTCCAAAGATCCTGCAATAAGCTCACCAATATTGGAAGATGCTTTGGTCAGTGGAAATGGGACAAAGGATGAAGAGGTACACGACTTAAACTTAAGTAATGTTAGAATTTATTGGTGCATGTTATATATACTAAACTGACAAAGATTCTCATACAAGGGAACCGTTATTGAAGGTATTTAATTGTTTAATATTAATTTCATATCACATTAATAACTCAGCATTGCTTTAAAAGAAACATAAATCTTTTTATCTGCATGTGATGATTCTCATTTTGTTTCTCTTTTAGAGTCTGACTTCTGTCTTTTTTGTTTGTTTGTTTCTATGTAAAAAATGTGAGAACTTCACCATACCCCTTTGACATATAATGGCATTATAATAATTGAACCTTAGTATCAATATACTGAGGAATTCCATTCCATTTACCAGCTCCTGTATCCACAGTATTTATGTAGCTTATCTACTTCAGTTTCTGTTGCGACTTCTGCAGCAAGCAACTCTCCTAACTCATGAAAGCCTGTCATCATCTACAAGGCACAAGTCAAGAATATGATAGGAAATTTTCTACTTGCCTCAATGAGTGCAACTCCAATGACATTGGAGACATTGAACACCATTCAGCCCGATGGATTGGCACCCCATATACCACCTTAAACGCTAAACTCCCTCCACCACCAATGCACTGTGGCAGCAGTGCATGCATTCTACAAGATGCGCTGCAGCAACACACCAAGACTCCGTTGACAATGCTGTCCAATCATGCAACCTTTGTTATCTAGAAATACAGGGTAGTAAATCCATGGGACGCCATCACTTGCAAGTTCCCCTACAAGCCATATAGCACCCTAACTGGGGCCTGCATCTCCATTCTTTCATTGTTGCTGTGACAAAATTCTGAAAGTCACCAACAGCACTATAGGTTGTCCTGTCCCAAGCCCTCTGGACTGCAATGGTTCAAGAAGGTGGCTCATCATCACCTTCTTGAGCACAATTAAGAAAGTGCAATAAATGCTAACCTAGTCTTCCTGTGAAAAGTCTTTCTCGTACCTGTGGGGGAGAGAGAATTTGTGAAAGCTTTTATCTGGTAATCCAATTTTCTTTAAGCTAAGAAGAAATTTATTAATGACCGTGGTTTACTTTTTGTATTTTTTCAGTTCTTTCAGAAATTGTTTCTTTTTGTGCTGTAGATGTGTTGCCTTTTCTAATTATTTGTTGTTTTTTAAAAAATTGACTGTCACACTGGATCTGACCTAATAAATGTGTATAAGCCAGTCAGGTGTCAGCCTTAGAGATAGTAGGAACTGCAGATGCTGGAGAATCTGAGATAACAAGGTGTAGAGCTGGATGAACACAGCAGGCCAAGCAGCATCAGAGGAGCAGGAAGGCTGACGTTTTGGGCCTAGACCCTTCTTCAGAAAATGATTTTCTGAAGAAGGGTCTAGGCCCGAAACGTCAGCCTTCCTGCTCCTCTGATGCTGCTTGGCCTGCTGTGTTCATCCAGCTCTACACCTTGTTATCTCAGGTGTCAGCCTTTCCTTTTTTTAAACTTTTGTTTACTGTTAATTAATACATCAGCAGTGAATAGATACGTATGTTGATAATGCAGTGCTGGCATGCTCACAGATAGTAGTCAAGACAACCAACCTAGAAGCTTTGTAAAAGCACAACAAATAACATGTTGAGTCAGTGGTGTCTGGAGCACATAATGGCCAATTCAAATTGGTGGGCTATGAAGGTTTCTCCACCAAGCAAATATAATTTCAAAATATTTCAGCAGATAGCTGTTACCATGCAAGTTACTATGGAGAAGGAATGATTATGATGTAGAACTGAACGATTACAGTTTCATAACTCACTATGGTGGTGTGCTGGAAATAAACCCCACTATTCCCAGAATTGCCATAAAAGTTAAAGTTTTTAGGAAGTACACAAAGTTCACCAATTTATCTGACCTTCAGACCCAGGTTGATAGAAAGCATGGATGAGGCTTCAGTACTGAACAAGAATTACTTTATATTACAAGTAGTTAGATTCTAGCTTTAGGTAAACAGTTATAAACTGTCAGCCTATAAGATGACAAATTAAAACTCAAATCTCCTTATAAAATCCTCCTTGCTTGTGTGTGCAAGACAGACGGGGAAAATAGGTTATTGGGCAGGGGAGAAAAATTTGAACGAAAACTCAATAATCTTTGTTCCAGATTCTGTTGTTTAAACTGCCAGAAGAAGTGGTAGATGCAGAAACAGATACAACATATAAAAGACATTTGGACAGGTACACAAATAGGAAGGGTTTAGAGGGATATGGGCCAAATGCAGACAAGTGGTACTAGTTTAGTTTGGGAAACTTGGTTGGCATGAACAAGTTGGACCAAAGGGTCTGTTTCCATGCTATATGACTCTGTAATCCTTATGACATTTCTGCTGGCCAGCATATTGCTTCACATATCTTTCTCTGGATGTTTGCACTGATTGGTAAAAGACATAAGGTGGCTGGGTCACTTAGAATGCATCTCAGACTTTTCAGTTAAAAGTCACAGTTTACAACAATTGTTGCAGGAAAGATAAACTCATTTCCTTCAGGTTTAAAATTTTATCTGCAGAGAACAGAGACGCTGCTCTCGAGCTGGAGAAGAACTGAACACTTCTCTCTTTCCGTAACGTTGTCTATAGCTCAAAGCTGCACAGTTACGTGGGAATCAGTCACACAACTGCTTCCAGGCAAAAAGGTCTCCGTCATTGATAACTGATCACTAGTACATAGACCAGTCAACTGCATGTTGCCAGAAAGAAGCTGCATCTGTATACCCCTTGATTCCACATTATGTGCACCTCAAACTTCAGTTAGCACTTGTTCAAGTTAGTTACTCGTCTGCAATGGGTGTCTGGTTACTTGCTTTCCAAACATACAGCCACCCTTTCAAACACTGGTTTTAAAGCAGTTCTTTCTCATTTAATTACACTGTCTTTAAAAGAAAAATTAAAAATACACAGTTACTTTCAACAGTTTGATGGGGAACTTATAGAGAAGAGTGCTGCTACAGGCATAACAGGGAATTGTGTCGGCTAACTCAATATTTTAATGTTGCAGATCCCTTTGTAAATCTTTACATAAAGGTTTTCAGTGGAATTTGACTTGAATTTTTAATATTGGTTGTTAGTCTGCTTGTGTATTACCTGTTGCTAAATCTTTCTTTGGTTCACTGTTTAAATCTCTCCAATAATATTTGAGCCATGCTCTCTGTCTGCATAGCTAGTTTCCTGTTTTAGTCCCTAATCATTTCTATCCTTCTGCCCATTACCTTTTTACTATTTGTCGTTTTGTAGAAACTGTTCAGATTGCCTTTTATGATAGTTGTTTCTAATCATATTCTCTTCCTTGCGTATTTCAGTGTGCACTTTCCCTCTGATCATTTTGATGTTCAGCCTGATTCTTGCTTGTACTATCAACCTAATGTCTACCTTTATCATCTTTATCTCAAAGAGCTCTGCTTTGACTTGCCCTAGCTTTACCCCACTTTGGAACTTGCGTCATTAGTACCCAAACTACCTTCTCTTTATAAGTCAGCCAGCCCATTGTTCTGTTCGTAGATCTGCCTGCCAATCTTTGATTCTGTTGTACCAAGAACAGAGCCATCAGCCACCAGCCACCAATTCCGTGTCTGTCCCTGACAACTATCAGAGATTGAAAAAGATAGTTCTCAAGCTTGATTTCATATTTGACTTTGAGATGAACTATAACCACATCTTAATGATAACATTAAGACTTTCCACTTCCAACATGGTAACTATATCACTCTTTCAACCCATCTGCTGCTTAAACCCTAACCTATGTCTTTTATTATTGTAGCCTTGACTATCAGATGCATTGATGGCTGGCCTCCAGCTTTTCACCCCACATAAATTGTGCTCATCAAAAACTCTGCAATTGTTAATCTAATACGTGGAAGTCTACTAGCAAATCACTTCACTAGCTAAAATTGACTCCCAGTCCATTGTCACCGTAATTTTAAAATTTCTTAGAAAAGGAAAATACTTCAGATGCTGGAAGTCTGACATCAAAATCAGACAAGTCTGGAAATACTCAGCATTTGTGGTAAAAGAAACAGTTAACCCCTACCAGTCTTCTCTCAGTCATTTGTGAAGTGATTGAAGGGGTGTATTACAATCAAATAGCACTTGCAGTAGAGTAATCTCCTAATTGAGACCCAGTTTGAGTTTTGCCAGGGCCACTCGCCTCCTGAACTCATTACAGTCATGGTCCTAACACAATCAAAAAAGCTGAATTCCAGAAATGAAATCAAGGCATTGATTAAACATCACATCAAGGACCCCTAGCAAAATTGGAGTCGGGGAAATTGGGGGAAAGCTGTCTTTTGGTTGGAATCATAGATACAGAAGGTACGTAGCACAAAGGCAAATGGTTGTGGTTGTTACAGGTCAATCATCTCAGGACCAAGACATCACTGTAGGAGTTTCTAAGGTAGTATCCTGAGCTGAATCATCTTCAGCTGTTCCATTAATGACCTTCCCTTCATCCTAAGGTCAGAATTGGAGATATTTGCTGATAATTGCATAGTATTGAGCACCATTTGCAACACCTCAGATATAGAAGCACTCCATGTTCAGATGCAACATGACATTATCCAGGCTTGGCTGACAGATGACAAGTAACATTTGTGGCAGGCAATGACCATCTCAAACAAAAAAAGCATGACCTTTAATATTCAATGGCATTATTATCCTGGATGCTACTATTGAACAGAAACTGAACTAAAGTCACATAAATACTGTGGTTATAACAGCAGGTTAGAGGTTAGGAATTCTGTTAGTTGCAATCTCTCCAATGCCTGTCCACCAACTGTCAGATAATTCAGGAATGTGTTGGTAAACTCTCTACATGTCTGGATGAGTGTGACTCCAATAACACAGCTTGACAACATTCAGGACAAAGCGGCTCACTTATTTGGCACTACATTCACCATCCTCAACATGCACTCCCTTCACCACTGATGCACAGTGTTAGCAGTGTGTACAATCTACAGGCTGTACTGCAGTAACTCACCAAAGTTCCTCCAATAGTGCCTTCTCAACCTATGACCTCTAACACCTGAAAGAAGGCCAAAGACTGCAGATACATGGGAACACCACTGCCTACAAGTTCCCCTCCAAAGCAAACACCATCCTGACTAGGAACTAAATTGCTGTTTCTTCATTATTAATGGGTCAGAATCCTGGAACTCACTTTTTAACGGCACTTTAAGGGCTGCAGCAAATGAAAAAGGCAGCTAACGGCCACTTTCCCCAGGGTAATTAAGGATGGGAATTAGATTTTAACCTAGCCAGCAATGCCCATATCCCATGAATGCATAAAACATCTCCAGTTTTGTTAAAACTGAAAAGGGTGAGAGATGTAATTGATTTAAAGCAACTACAGAGGAAGGGAAAAGAACAAAATGGGATATCTGTGATGGGATGAAACACGAGAGAGATTAATTGAGAATAGGGCAAAAATCTAGAGAAGTCAAGAGGAGGTGGCAGTAGCTATTTTTTATCAGCCTGTTCAGATGTGTTATGGCACACCTCTACAGCAAATGGAATGTGAACTGAAGTTCAAGTTCCGAGGTAGGGGCACTACCACTACACCACAAGAGCCCCAAAATCCAGGATTGAATCAGACACCATAGGATTTTCAGTCTAACAGTCTCCCAACTGAACTACTTCAGCCAAGCACAAATGTGTTATTTTTCTCAAATATTTCACTTCACTCTTGTTTTCTCACATTTAGATATTTTATAGTAGATATCTTTAATCAAATGTGTGTGGGGTAGGTAGCACTTGAACCTATACATTCTGAACTAGGTGTAGGGACTGTGGATAGATATTTTTTTAATTGACCTGTTCAGAGATGGCACCTCTGGAACAGGTGAGACTTGAACACGAACTTCCTAGTTCAGAGGTAGGGACACTACCCCTGCGCCACAAGAGTCCTTAGGGACTGTAGATAATCTTTTAATCAATCAGTTCAGGGATGTTAGTACACACTTGTGGAGCAGATAGGTCCTGAGGGATACAACCTCCATGCCACAACAGCCCTTGGGGACTGTAGGTATATGTATTTTCTAATTCAGAGATGTTATGATACACCTCTGGAGCAGGTTGGACTTGAAACCCAGACCTGCTGGCTTAGACAAGATGACAATATCACTGTAGCACAACAGCCTTTTAGGGACTATAGATAGAAAAAGCTGAATCATTTCTAACATCTGTCATCCCAGTAGAAATGAGCACATTAAGATTCAAAATCATTGAACTGTTCATTAGCCTGATTGAAAGATGAGGTGCTCTTCCTCAAGCTGATATAGACCCTTATTGGAACAGAAAGCGAGGCAGATGTCAGATTGGCTACAACTCTGATGATTCACCCACCACTTTAACTGATATCAGTTGCGATTCTTACAATTGGACTGTTACTGGGAATTAGAATTCTTCCTGCTTCATGACCCTGAAAATCCTATGTGAAATGGTTAACCCGGCTATACAAACAGTTAGACGTTTACCAATCTACCATACCGTTAAACTCCATTGCTTTAGTTGATGAAATTTGTACACATTTGTCTCTTTCCATTGTCAACACCTGAGGTTTCTGAACTTGCGTAAGGACATCCTTATGTAGGGAGAGGATGGTCTTTATGTCACAGAAGGCAAGTCTGTATGTGAATATCTCAGACACTGAGTGATGACTTCCACACATTTCAGACATCTGATTAACCCAGAAAAACTTGAATTATATAAGTCCAGAAGAATGAGACATATAATGTGATGAGATTTTTTGCATTGTAAAGCAAATTGTGTTTTCAGTATTGCTGATTCCATATATATAACAATATTTGCAGGACATCTGTTTATTCTGGAAGTTCAGAAGATTTAATTAATTGTTCTTTTAAATGTTCATAGGATGATGGAACCAGAAAGCAATTCATTGCCATTAATACCCTCGAAGACACTCAAGCTATAAGAGCGGTATCATTCCATCCAAGTGGGACTCTCTATGCTGTTGGTTCAAATACTAAAACTTTACGGGTGTGTGCTTACCCAGAGAGTATTGACCCAAGGTAATTTTCTTTTTAAAGAAACTAATATATGAAACTATTAAAAATGTAACTGTCAATATAACAAACAATTGGCATCCAAGCTGATTGATTGTCAAGTGGCTTTTCTGCTAGAAGGAGGAGGCAAGCGTGTAAACTCTGCGTGGAGTGTACACTACCTCAGAGCACTTTCGGTTCATTGGACAGATAATGTATTAATGAAATTCTAAAGATACGTTTTACATTGGAATTCCTCTCAGTTGGCCCCAGAAAACTGCCAATCTGAGTTGGTAGCTCTGTTCTTGATATTGGGGTACTTTAACAGTGCTTTGTACTAGCCTTCCGAGTTAAATTGTTACAGCAGATGTTTAAGATCTGGTGTCCAACATTGCTCCTACAAACACAGCAATCAAAAACAGATTAACTGCTCATTTAATCTGCAGTTTAGGGGACCTAGCTGTTTGTAAATTATCTGGTGTGTTTTTCTCATGACAACGACTACATTTCAAACATTGAGTAATTGAGTGGAAGCATTTTGAGGTCTCCTTCAGCACTTGATAAAACCCTATGTAAATGTAAGTCCCTTTTACTGAGCATTTTATTATAAGTATATTTATCTCAAAGAGTTTTCTGGTCTCTGAAGAGGCTATGAAATATGGTTTTATGTGTGTTTAGAAAAACATGCTCAGATGCCTGACTGCATTGAAGGCACTTCATCTGCAGGATCCTCATTCTTCAACTTTTGTCACAGGGAGGTGGGATACAACTTTGAACACAAAGTGGTTGTGTTCCATAACAAGGACTGAGAGGTTCATGGGTGACTCATTTCCAGCTTCGCCCTGGAATGTTCTAGCAACTAATTAGTTGACTTCTTTATAAGTTGTGTTCTGGGAGAAAATCATCTGCTCATTTGCTGCAAGAAAACAGGAGTTTCAGCCATTTTCAGTGCCCTTTCTACATAAAGATCCGGGGATATATTGGTTTAAAATAAATTTGAGAGAGTCATATGCACTCCTTAGTGCTGAAGAACATCCCTTGTTGAATGGGTATGATCTTTATTCTATTTTCCATTTCAGATTCTCAATTCCAGAATGTCATTGCTGGTTAGTGCTGATTTAAGAGAAATTTTTAACTATAGGAACTGAATTCAGGCTGCAGGAAATGAACTTACATGGGAATTTTACATTCATGCGACCAATTTTTACACCCTTTCAGTTCACATTGAATTTTGAACCACTTTTCAGGAGTCATAACATATAACCCACATCCGTTGAAGTTCCTTTGTACCATATCTTATAGAGACTTAGTAACCACATTCTTGTAGCAATTTTTGGGTGATAACGTTAAGCATTCTTGCTGATATGAACATTTTTGAGATTTGTCTGCTTCTCCATGAGGTTTCTCCAGTGGTGAAGTATCCCTGAGTATCAAAAAGGCTTGGAGTATGTTCAAAGTGGCTTAAGACTTGCTGCAGAGGTACCTGAGCCTAGGTTCCCCAGCAGTACTTTATTGAGAGAGATGTCAGAAAATGCAAACTCACTATGAATGCCCACCTAAATACTACCTCATGGCATTGATTAGCGTAGGGAATCCAGCCATTTCAGAGATATTCGCAACTTTCATTCAAGCCAAAATTCACTTGAAAAAAATTTAAATAAGGAACACATTATTTAAAGTACAAGTCATAATATTAAAGACCAAAGTAATGAATCATTATTATATAGAAAAACCATTTAGATGAATCATTTTCTTAATCTTAAATGTAAATCTTACCTTTTGTCAAACAGCTCGCTCATTAGCTGACTTCATTTCAGAATGACACAATTTCTAGCCTCAAATCCATTGATGTGATAAAATTACAATTGATATACTGTAAAAATGAAGTACTCAGTACGTTTTTAAAATTTTGAAGACTTATTAATATTTATTACTTGTTGACGATCTGATTTTCCTTTCTATTCCATCTTTCCTTCCTTTTATCCCAACCATCCCTACCACTGCCATGACTTATCTCTAGTGCATACAGTTTACCTAAGCAACCTGTAGTAAAGTTTAAAAGGAACAAACACCACAAGGGATCAATCTACTGCGTGGCTTGGAGTCATTGCGGACAACTATTGGCTACTGGATCAAATGATAAATATGTGAAAGTGCTGCCATTTAGTCCAGAAACCTGCAATGCTACAGGTACATTTGTATGTAGTTTTAAGCGAATGAAATGTTTCCATTTTACATTAGACTGGAAAATGCTCTTACCTTTCATTAAAACTTTTGCCATCTAGGAAGATATTCAAAAACAAAGTTGCTGGAAAAGCTCAGCAGGTCTGGCAGCATCTGTGG